TGAGTTATAAAATGATGGCCACGGAGTGGAAGCTTCAGATTTCTGAAACAGCTTGAATGCACAACAGAGTGATAAGACATTTGGATACACATAGTAAACCTGGTAGGTTCAGTAAATACTGGACTTTATCTGGTGTCGGGAAAGTTGGGGGTAAGCACGGGGGACTGGCGACTGCAGGACGGGATACAGATGTTGCTGTCTGAATGAGCAATTTAAATCCATTGGTGAGAAGTAATGAAAACGGATCAAAATGCTCATCTATCTGCACCCTAAGTGTGCAGGTAAATATTCTGTGTGTCGAACTGGTTTGGCCAGTGATGAAAGTTCAGAAAGAAACCTTTTGGGGAGGCTTAAATACAGACTTTGGGGATATGTGTGTGAAAGGTTATGAATTTTCCTCCCTGCCCCCCCTTCATCGTGGCTATTTGGGCAGTGGTCCTGCCCTCACTCTGTCTTACTTTGGTTAAATAATAGATCTCCCTGCTAAAAGTGACCCTTTCAACACACATTCTCTGCCCAAAAGCAAATTTATTGGAATGAGCAACTGTGTGTCAAAAACCTATTCTGCCACACAATAAAATGGATGCCTAGCCTTGTTCCTCATGGTCAGTTCAAAAGACTGGCTGTTCCATGTACATGCCATGTTAATTAACAGGATGAACGTGCCACGTTGATTAGCAGGAGACTAGTATGAAAGATTACTAGATGCAAAATACTTGAATCTGTTTGAAATTCTAGCAAGATTTTGTTTCAACACCCCTCCCCTGTTCTGATTCTTAGAAAGTGTCAGTTTTGTGGAGTTACAAAGTTAGGGGTGCCATGTCAGATTTTTGGGGGCAGGGATGACAAGATTCTCAGCGAGGTGTTTCAAGGCCCACTTGCAATAAATGTTCTTAGGATCGGACTGGAAGTCATGGCTAACTGATTAGATTGGGACCTTTTAAGAGCATTTGTTATGGCTACTTTGTTACAGACCAAGATAAACATCCAAATAATGTCCCATTCCCTCCCTAAATGCAGGAAAATACTTGCACAGTCATTCCTTCTCATTTGTACACACGCACACACGCACACGCACACACTGTCAACTCACAGTTGTCAGCTCACAGCTTACTTATGGTGACCCCTTATGGGGTTTTGCCATTGCTGACCTCTCCATTGCAACCCTAGTTTTCCATGGTTGGTCTCCCATCCAAATACTGGCCAGGGCTGACCCTGCTTAGCTTCCTAGATCTGAAGAGATCAGGCTAGCCTGGGCTATCCAGGTCAGGGCTTGGGTATATATAGCCTATGTAAATAATTATGGACCATGGTTATAGGAAAACCCTTGCAAGGGAACATTCTCCATTGCCCATTGAAGACCCTGTGGTTCATACTCCCTCTAAAGTGTAGAGTCTTGTGAGCAAAAATTAAAGTTGTGAGTGAGCAATTTGGCTACTGCATAAACTAGTTTGCTCTGGAGCCATCCTTCCTGAGCTCAGACAAAATTGTGTGAGCTGGAGGCTAAAAGACTGTGAGCTAGCTCACATTAACTCAGCTTAGAGGGACCATTGGTTCCAAGTGATCCTTAGGTTGGTATGCTTGTCTTTTCTTTGTCCCCTCCCCCCCAGATCTGGAGTTTTCCTTTTACTGATTTTAAAGAAAATATTACAAACAATAACTTAGAAGACAATAGAGGTCATGAACAAATAATGAATCAAACAAGCATAAAGGGAAAATAGAGTGGAAATATAAATGTAGTTAAGAACTTGGTCATACAGCAAACGTGGGTATAAAAATGTAGATGACTAAACTAATATGTGTGCAAAGAAATAACAATCCGCACTAAATTAAAATCTGATGCTCAGTAGGTCTAAATTGCCTTTACTGCTCTGGGTGTTTCATTTAAATGCCTCAGAGACATCAGGTATGAGTGCTGAGATAAAGAAAACATTATTATTATGGATTTCTGGGGGCCAATAAACAAAACTTTCTCAACTCCCTGGTCTCCTATTTCTTTCCCTGTGTTTGGCATAGTGAACCAAATTTATCACTTTTCAGATGTTTATGGCTGGAAGTGTTTTGAAAAACAACAGGCTTAAAATGTGCCTTAAATAGAGTTGAAACTGGCCTTCTGATATTGAATGGAACTAGTAAGGAAAATGAAGATTATTACCTACTTTAGTAATCTGCCAGAATCTAGAGTTAATTTTTTTCTTCTGCATGTGATTTCAGATGCATTTCCATGTGTGAATCCTGCCTTCTGTGTGTGGGAGCCTGGGGTAGGGTTATCAGCCTCCAGGTGTGTCCTGGGGACCCCCCAGAATTACAGCTGATCTCCAGACTACAGAGATCGGTTCTGCTGAAGAAAATGGCCGTTTTGCAGGGTGAACTCTATGGCATTATAACCTGTTGAGGTCCCTCCACTCCCCCAAACTCACCCTCCCCAGGCTCCACCCCAAAATATCTAGGAATTTCCCAACTCAGAGTTGGCAACCGTAGGGAAGGGACACGGCAGGTGCACTATTGTGTTGATGGTGTAAAGAATGCCCCAGAAACAATGTCACAGTGATTTCGGCTCATTCCACCATGCCAACCTAATAAGCAGCAGTGAGGGTCAGGGACTGCTACCAAGAGGTCTCCCAGTATAGCAGGAGATGTGGCTGCCCTGTTGACAGACCTATAACTGAGGAGGGACAGTGGGGCAGCAACACTGGCACACCTCCCAAAGGTCTTCCTGTCAGCTGCTTCCTAGGAATGCTGTGATGCTCAGCTGGCACAGGCACTTCTCTCTTGCTCAGCAACAGCACAGGCATGGCTATTTGAGTGTGGGATGGATGGAAGTTTGGATGGGAGGGCAGAAATGATGCTATTGCTATGGTGATGTAGGCACAACTGGCCAGGTGCTGGTTCACAGTCTGAAGAAGGCTGCCTCTAGCAGGCTGCCTCAGAGTTCAAGGAGTGGTGCTCTCTTGCCTACAGTAGTAACCCACTGTAGCTGCACTGTTCCATGTCTCCTTCATGGAACAGTGCAGGTCCCCTTGTTGATCTGGCTGGGGGATTTGGTGGGTGTTTTGGGGGTGGGCAGGAATGTCGTATGATGCCTCCGATGTGATGATGTCACTTCTAGGTGACATCATTGTGTCGGGGACGCCCTGGTATTTGGGCAAAACTCTTTTTTCCACTCTCAAACCATAGAGTTTGCCCAAATACCAGAGCGTCCCTGCATGATGATCCCAATGTGATGATGTCACTTCCAGGTGATGTCATCATGTCGGGGACATTGTGTGGTGACATCCCTTTTCAGGGGCAGGGTTTCCGCCACTGGCCAGCTGGTCCGTGGCAGAGAAAAGCCCTGAAATTGGTTAGATCAATTAAGCAGTTAGATCATTTCCCCCCAAATATTCTTTCCCTCAGCCATTTCCCCCAAATATTCTTTCCCTCAACCATAAAAAAGAATTGAGGTTTTACAAGGGTTATCAACCATAAAATGGGTCCTGAAGCCCTCCTGGAATAACAACTGATCTTTGGACTACAGAGATCAGTTCCCCCAGAGGAAATGGCAGCTTTGGAGTACAAATGGATGTTCTAGGACTTCCACTTCTCCTATGGTATACCTGTGAAGACACTAAAGGCCAGAGGCCAGTTGGGGATTGAGACAGGATGGGACTGCTGTTGACTGGTGTCTTCCTAGGAGTCTTCCGTGAATTTTTCTCATTAACACCAAGAACAACCTGAAGAGGATTTTGAGAGGTCTTTTAGACTGAGTGGAACATAGTTGTTGGTGGTGGAAATTGCTGTCAAATGGCAGACAACTTATGGCAACCCCATATAGTTTTTAAGGCAAGAGATGTTCAGAGGTGGTTTGCTATTGCTTGCCTCTGTACAGTGATCCTTGAATTCCTTGGTGGTTTCCCATCCAAGCACTAGCCAGGGCAGACCCCTGCTTAGCTTCTGAAATCCGACAAGATTGGGCCATCCAGGTGAGGCCAACAAACAGTTACCCCAGCACAAATATTTAGGTTCAAAGGATTAGTAATGGCATATAGGACTTATGCATACAGAAGCCTACAAGTGATGTGAGGTGGATGAAAAAGGCAAGAGGAAGTGATTTGAGGCAGGATATTTACATTTTTAATTTGACTTTAGGTAAAAGGAAATGACTTCACAGGAAGGGGAAGAGTTGAAGAAGCCGATCTCTGACCTAGATGTAACACAGTGACATCGCATCCCCCCTCTCAAACTCTGCCCTCTCCAGGTACCGCCCCCAAATCTCCAGGAATTTCCCTACCTAGAGTTGGCAACTCTAGATTTTGTGTGTGAACTATGTTTGGGCAACTGTGTGAAACAATGGCTGAACCTTTGGCACATTTTAATAACTGGAACAATTAGTGTTTTAGTTTTTTCTTTGGGTATTAATTCTGTTATAATCTTGAAGTATATCTGTAGCTGAAGTCCCCGTCCCCCAAATGCCATGTTTCAAGTTGAACATCATTGTTAGATCGCCGCTAACAAAGGTCCGGAGAGTGATTTCAGCAAAGTGATTCAGCTTTATTGAAGTAACGAACAAGCACTTAAACGCATTCATAACCAGAACAGTTTAACATAGGGAGCTAGGCTCCTTTTAAACTTTCCCGGCTAACATAGCCACGCCTATTTACACTTAACAACCAATGAGGTTGTGCGGATAAGGACCAATGAAAGTTCTTCCCGCTCAGGGAACAGTTCCGCTGTGATTGGTCGCCATTCAGAAGCGACCAATAGGGTGTTAGTGCTGAGGGAGCCTTGGCTGGCTCGAAGCTTAACATGGGAGGTGCATTAGATGATTCATGTAATACTTTCAATACATTACAATTCCTCCCCCCTAAGTTAAGACAACACCATTCTGTTGTAGCATAATTTCACCGGTTACATACATTAGTCATTAATATACAAATCATTGCAGTCATAATCTCCCAGGTACAGGGGCACTCTTCTTACACGCTGAGACCTGCGGATGGGTGCAGGCTCGGTGGGCACAATTAGCTGTGGGTCACCTCTGGGCTCTGTAACGACTGGGTCAGGCACGTTAACTTCTGGGGTTGTGGCACTGAAACTAGGGGTCTGCCCTGCTTCGGGGACAAAGCTGGGCACTTCTGTATCACCTCCGTCTCTGGAGGTCTGAGATCAAAGTTAGGGGACTCATCTGTAGGAGAGTCAGCACTGTCCTTCGCCCAACGTCTCCTCAGCTGGTCAATGTTGTGCCGCCATTTTCTACCATCGGCTAGCTGTACCACATACATACGTGTGCCTATACTCTCGCACACCTCCCCGGGGGCCCAGGAAAGAATGCCCTGCAGCATAATTACAGGTGAACACTTTGTCTCCGGCCTCAAACATGCGCACCTTCGTTTGTGAACCTCCTGCTGCTCGTTTAGGTCCGGGTGCAACCGGTTTAAACGAGTTGTTAGACGCCTACCCATAAGTAATTCAGCCGGACTATGACCCGTTGCACTACAGGGGGTGGACTGCTGCCGCAAGAGGAAAGACCCCAATCGTACACTCCAATCCCCCTCAGTTAACCTTCCCAGGGCTTCTTTGGCCGTGCGGACCATTCTCTCTGCCTGACCATTTGAAGCTGGATGAAACAGGGCAGAGGTGATTTGGCGAATGCCATTGTTGGCTAAAAATTGTTGAAATTCCTCTGAGACAAACCGAGGGCCATTGTCACTGACCAGTATGTCCGGCAGCCCGTGGGTTGCGAAAAGCCGGCGTAGCGCATGAATGACCGCGATAGAAGTGGTCGAATGCATTTGCACCACTTCCAGCCATTTAGACCAGGCATCAACTACAATGAGGAACATTTGTCCCTGTACTGGGCCAGCAAAATCCACGTGAAGTCTTGACCATGGCTTACCAGTGGACTCCCACTTTTGCGGTGGAGCTGGTGGAGGTTCTGGCCTGCTTTGTTGGCATTGAGTGCAAACCTGTGCCCACTCTTCAATTTCTTTATCAAGTTTGGGCCACCAAATACACCCTCTTGCTAGGGCCTTCATGTGCACCATCCCCGGGTGCCCCTCATGTAAGGATTCCAAAACCCTTCGTCTAAGCTTGTCCGGAACTACTACTCTGTTTCCCCAAAGTACGCAACCTTTGGAAATTGAAATTTCCGCTTGGCGAGCTTTGTATGGCTGGAACTCGGGTTCCACACTCCCCACTGGCCACCCCCTCCACACCCAGTTGAGGACACGGGACAATATGCTATCTTTTGCAGTTTGTGCAGCTTTGTCCCTTGAAGAGACTGGTGCCTGGGGAAGTTCATCTATGGCCAAGACTTCACATGCCGGGGCTGGGTCTGTTCCTTGGTTAGGTAAGGGACAGCGGCTGAGTGCGTCAGCATGCCCTATGGCCTTTCCCGGCCAGTGTTCCAGATCAAAATCGTATGCCTGCAAAAACAACGCCCATCTAAGCATTCTTGGGGACATG